GTACAGAACCTGTAGGATGTTGCGCATGCGCGACTGAACGAATCACTCCCCGAGACGACTCGTTCTTCCCGAGTCATATTAAAGATTCGTTCAAAATGAACGAATCGTTCAAGAGCGACCCATCACTACTTTTTACCTCAGTTCTTTTTCTTGTTCAGTGCGAGAAATCTAGTCTCTGTTGGGCTTGAACAAGTGCACTGAAGTCAGCTTGAATGTCTGAGGTGGATATGCGGAGTACAGCTGACAGGTGATCATCAGTGAGAGAGGATCTGTATCTGGATTTGTTGCTGTATTGCTCCATCCCTGGATGTGTAAAGCTTGGTAAGAAGTCCTTGTTGCCTTTGGAGCTTGCCTAGCAAAGATTCAGAGGTCTGTGCTCGCTCTGCATCAGTCAAGTTCTTGTATTTTTCGGCGTGTTTCCTCTCATAATATCGCTTCAAATTGTAATCCTTAAACACAGCGATCTCTTCTCCACAAACTAAGCACACTGCTTTACCTTTGACTTCGGTAAATAAATACTCAGAAGTCCATGTCTTGTTAAAAACTCGACATTCTGCATCAATCTTTCTTTTCTTAACGTGAGCGGTAGGGGTGTGCCATATCATACCGTCCACGATAATACCGGTACAAATTTTTACATGATAAAAAAGTGTCATTTCGCGATATCAGTGCTATAGCGACGCGATGACGTATGGCGCATTTACGTTCCCTAGCGCGCACAACAACACCTGTCTGAGAGCAAGAGCAGCATGTCAGCCTCCGATGACGATTTAGTACCTAAAAAGGGAGATACTTCAATAGTATGGAAGTGGTTTGGTTACAAGAGGTCAGACCTCCAACAAAGCACAATATTTTGCAAAATATGCAAGAAAACTGTTACCGCAAAAGGTTTAAACACAACAAACTTGTTTCACCACTTGAAGCAAAACCACACCATCGAGTACAACCAGACTATGAAGCTACGAGAGGAGGAGACACTAACAGCTGGTGATGTGCGGCCCAAAAGTAAACAAATGACTCAACCGAGCATCGCTGGAGCACTCGCTAGTTGCACTAGAAGAGTAAACGGTGGATGGAAATTACTGATGCGGTTACATATTGTTTGGCCAAGGATACGATGCCAATCCAAACGGTGGAAAAGGAGGGATTTAAGCAACTGGTCAAAAAGCTCGACCCAAGGTACAACATCCCAGGTAGAAAATATTTTTCAAAGACATCCCTGCCTGCGATGTATGAAGCATGCCGCGACAAACTAGCAGCTACACTATCGTCGGTGGAGTTTTTTGCCTCAACCACGGACATGTGGTCGAGCCGAACGGCTGAACCATATATCAGCCTGACCGTGCATTACATGGACATGGACAACGACTGGAAGCTACACAACTCCTGCCTTGAGACAAGTTATTTTCCCGAGGATCACACAGGTGTAAATTTTGCGAGTGGTTTAAGGGAGTTTCTTAACTCGTGGCATCTAGAAGAGGACAAACAAGAGTGTGTGACAACAGACTGCGGGGCCAATGTTGTTAAAGCCATCGCTCTCAATAACTTGACCAGACTGTCATGCTTTGGACATCGTTTGCACATTGCTATTGGTAAGTTTCATTTACCATACTGTCATCAATGACAGTAGCTCATTGGAAAAGGATGGAAAATGCCCTTCATTTTGTTTGCACTAATAAATGCTGCTGCCTGCCAGCTGCAATCCCCAATAAAACGTTGCTCCATATTTTTTTTTGTATATCGTCATAAATATCATTATCGCAAATATTCTTGAAATATCGTGATATAATTTTGAGGCTATATCGCCCACCCCTAGCGAGCGGACATTTTGGGGATAACCGCTAATGCATCTTTGGTAAAGGTCAGATCACCAACTAAACATGGGCACGTACACACACACCATAGGCTCACACGCACGAGCATAATGACGTATAATTAGCAATCGCATTCAAAATAAAAGCAATATAATTGTATTGTGTGTATAATATACACTTATTTACTTTGATTCCTGACTTCACACTGACCTCATGGGGGGCCGGTCAGCGACAGCCAAAGGGCCGGATGTGGCCCGCGGGCTGTACAATGCCCAGGTCTGTATTAGAGGGAAATGCACACTAATTTAACTAAATAAGCCTAAATGTAATGCAATTATAATGATACAGTCACCGTAAGAGCTCTGATATTGGAATCGGGTTTAAGAGTCACAAAATTCAGACATGATCAGCGTAATATTTTATATGATGATACAGTTCGTGCAGTTTATATAACATACTGTAGTTTATCTGGCAGGTGAGACAGAAGCCATAGTCCTGACCTGCACTGTAACACAATAACTCAAGTTAGGTAGGTTATCAGTGAGATTCTTACTCAGGTTATAGAGGAGATCTCCCCTACAGCAGCAGCAGTGTTGACCAAAGGAGCAGAATTTCCTGAGGCACATTTATCATGCAGTTGGTTAATTGAATAAAAGCACAAGTTCTTAATTTGCTAATCTATTATATTGTTTTAAATCTTTGAATTTAAGACATGAAAATTTTTGTTGGTTCAAGTGCATTTAAGTACAAAAATGTCTGTGTGCAGTTTAGGAAGCTGTTGCCACCTTGGGACTTTACTCATTTACAATATTTACATTAGTTTCGTTTTCAGGTCCCTGGAGGAGTAGCGGTTAGGCCACAGCACTCTCACTGCTGTGGTCCAGGTTCGATTCCTGGCCAGGGCTCCAACCCCAGCCTCTGGGGTTGCTTGCAACAGTGTGCTCTCAGTGCCGGTCCCAGGCCCGGAAAAAATTGGGGAGGGCATCCAGTGTAAAAACTGTGCCAAATCGAATACGAGGCCCAGTGATCCGCTGTGGTGACCCCTAATGGGAGCAACTGAAAGAGGAACAACATTTGTTTAGTTTTTCTTGTGTTTTGTTGACATCGCCTTTTCTGCCTTGTTGTTTGGGGCCCCATAGACCCCAAGAATAACATTCATTTCAAAATTAACCATTTTTTTCCTATGAAAATATTTATCCAATTTTGTATCAAATATTGTAACACACTAGGCTTGCATATTTCAGAAATGTGATATATTTATATTTCTTTTCTTTAGCAAAAACCCATTTTTTCAAATGATATTATACTGGAAAATAACATGTTATGTTTCGGGTCTACATAAAGATTAACGGCAAGGCCCAAAAGGCTGACTGGATGCACAACACTATGCACAAGACGTGCAAAGGGTTTGTGTGGGTGCCTTACAAATATTTTTTTTGCCTTATAAAATATTTTTGGCATTTCTAGCTCTCCCTAATCACCTGACAGTTTCCAACCAGGGAGGGTGAAGGCTAGCACCTTTTTGAACTGCTGCTCATGCTCTGTTGTAGAGCATTGCAACACACTAGGAGGAAAGCACTACCTGCCCTCTTCTGCATAAATAATCTCACAGATGTCCATGATTGGCTAGTGTTGCTCTGACTGACAGGGGGAATGAATAAGCCATCGCTCCAACCCAGAAAGCATGGCCAATTTTGTTTCTTTGACTCCTGACCATGGATGGCTGAAGCATTGTGTGGATTTGTGATCTCTCGACAATTTCGAGAAAAATTTGATTTTCTGTTGCATAACTCAGGAGCTTATAGGGTTTTTAAAGTCATTGCTTTCCATGGAGATTTAGCACATTACACCTTTTAGAACTGCTGCTGTTGGAGTGTCAGAGGGCTCAGGCTGACTCTGGGTCTTCCTGACAATGGCAGAGATACCAACATATACCTAAAATTTTCCCAGTGAAAAAGTCAATCATAGAGTAGCCAGTCCATCTATTGACATGTATTTGGGAGACTGGATGTAACCAGAGAACCCAGAAATACCCCACGCATACACAGGAAGAACATGTGACACTCCGCACAGAGAGTCAGCCAAGCTCTGGAATAATTATGTTTATGTGTTTTGTTTCTCTTTTCATATGGATTTTATGGAATGTGAAGGAGAAGACAATCGCTCAATATCTACACAGCACCCTCACACCAGACATGTAAAAATTGGTAGTGATGATACTGAGGACACAAACTCTCCCAAGTTTACATTCAAAAGTATCAGAATAAAGTTTTTAAATAATATTGCTTGGAATTTGTTTCAGAATCTAAATTTCATGCTATTTATATACAGCTGAGGCCAAAAGTTTACATACACCTAGGCTAAAGATATTCAATCTCAATTTTCCACAACTCCACAGGTTTTTGTTACCATAGTTAAATAAGGTATCTGCTTTTTTCATTTTAGAGATCATTTTAATACAGTTGATTAGAGACAGATGTTTTAGTTTTAATTCACTAAAAGGGCCTTCTTTTAGCCTCTTTTGCCCTTGATACCATGGGAAAATCCAATCATCTCAAAATTCCAAGTCCACTTCCTCCTTAGGCGCAATTTCCAAACAACTGAAGATACCATAAAAAATCATTACAAACAACTGTATGCAAATATAAAAATCTTGGTTTGCGATTTGATTGAAATTTGTATTGAACTTATTTAATGCACAGTTTGGCCATAATAATCAGCACTACGTATGAAGTGAATTTGACTCACTGAAAATCTGATAATAGTAAATAAAAACTGAAATAAATCTGCCTCTTATTTACTATTTTGAAATGATCTCTTATGGAAATAACATAGATACCTTAATTGACTCTAATTAACACCAGAAATGTATGGTAAATGAAATGTGTGGAGGTATGAAAAATTGATTAGCCTCTAGGTCTATGTAAACTTTTGGCCTGAACTGTACTGAGTCCCCACATAATTCAGACCATTGGCTCCATAGAATAAATTTTCACATACAGTCAGGTCCATAAATATTGGGACATCGACACAATTCTAACATTTTTGGCTCTATACACCACCACAATGGATTTCAAATGAAACGAACAAGATGTGCTTTAACTGCAGACTGTCAGCTTTAATTTGAGGGTATTTACATCCAAATCAGGTGAACGGTGTAGGAATTACAACAGTTTGCATATGTGCCTCCC